CACGTGGGTATGATTTGCATAATCAACTGGAAATGTTTAATTGGAATATTTAATTTAAAATATGTGTTTATTCCATACTCTAACTCTCTTGTAACATTTTAATCCTTAAACTTCTTTTTATAATAATTTAGCCCTTCCAATTTTATAAACATAGGGATTCTTTTTCAAAACATTAAAAATTTTATCAAAACATGACCTATTTAAAAATCGAGCGAACAAACATCCAACCATCTAACCTTAAACACCCGTATTCAATTACAGTCAAAGTTTTAAATGTTTATGTCGGTGGAAATGTGTTGAGGTCTCAACTTTATATAGAAATAGCAAGAAAATGTCGATGTCGATGAATATTTATAGGAAAAAAGTACATAAACTAATAAAGAATTCATATCAAATATTTAAAATAACCCATAAATATATTTAACCCTTCCTAAATAATTTAAAATTATTAATATTAATATTATGTACATATTAATTATATTTTTTGTCAATTTTTTTACAACATTATATGGAAATGTCAACTTCCTCTTAGAACTCGTAAACATATGAAAATGTTGACATGTCAGTCAATGATCAGTGGAGATTAAAAAAAACTATATCTTAAAAGTAAATTTTTTTTATTCTCTCTTTGTTGCTTAACTAGTATGATATAATTTCCATAAAATTGCATTGTATTATATATAAGGCATTGAAGTTTCTCTCTCTACCCTACACTCTCTTTTTGAGGGCTTTTTGTTGGCTTTTAGAGAGGGGGAGAGGTCCACAAAAGAGAGAGAATTGTTTGTTAAAAAGATGGCTGAGGAAACCAACACACACACAGAAAAATGGAGAATCTAATCAGACTTGCCTTTCCCTCTGTCCTTAACCACGTTCTCCTCCCATTTTTTAACTGTTAAATATATTATTTCTTTCGGGTTCAAAAATGAAATCTGACCAAAGATTTGTGAGCCTGAAAAAACTACTATGTTGAAGGGACATTAACGTTAATGATCCTAATTAAAAAGATAATGGACCTAATAATATATATGAGGTATTCTCTTCTTGTCGATTGATTTTCGGATGAACTCGATGAATCTCGATAATTTTGTCATATATTTTTATCATTTTTCAATTTTAGCCAATAACTAGAAAGTAAAATTGCACAAATCATTGACTGTAATAATGATTAGAATTTCACTCACAAACGATTTTTTAATGTAAAATGTAAAGTCTTAAGCATAATTAAATATTTGATCTTATACTAAAACAAAATTAAAAATTCCTACTTTAATAGGGTCAAATTTTTTCAATGAAAGAAGTTTGATGGTTATGCTTTAGAATTTGTGTGATCTTAATTGTTGATGCAGAGATCAGTGGCGCTCTTGCCACACAGGGTTCGATACAGTAGTTAAGTGTAAAGTGTAGGGTGTTGTGAGGACTTACTCCTCTATTTATAAGAGTTGAATATTGATCACTCATCGTGTATATATAGTAAATTTGGTTATCTAAATCTTGAGAGAATCTTGAAGCAATCAAAATATCTTTGAAGAATAGGATATATGAATTATAAGGCAATCAAAAAATCTCCCCTTTTGAATTCCTTGAGAATTTAAATAAATTCATAACATTAATAATTATATTTTATTTTAGTTTAAATTGTATTGTTATACCCATTTGCTGTACCAAAAGGGACAAAGAAAAAGAAGGAAATATTTTTATATATTTTACTTTATATTTGATTGAGGATAATTTAACCCCAAATGAAAACAAACAGAAAAAGGTGAAAAGACAAAATGACCCTCGAAAATAAAAGGGGTGAGAAATGGGCCCAGCAATTTCAGGGTTTAAGGTCAACCAGCCTCATCATTTCAATTCTCAATTTCAGAGAATACTTTTGATTATTTTTAAGAAAAATAAATACCTTTATTATTTTTTTTTTTTGGAAAATAAAAAGACAGAGAAAAAGACATATCTAATCCAATGTTGGATTTTGTGGATTGTTTTGATCACCTCTGCATTTACAAACCTAGTAATAAAAAAATGAAAATTAATTTGGAAAATTACTATTTCGCCAAAGGGGCAAAGAAGGAAAAGAGCCTATGTGAGAAAACAAAATCTCGTTTAGTAGACAGCAAGTTATGGCTTGGCCAACTCAAAGCGTTCAACGTCAGCCTACCATCTTTCGTTTTTTAGATGCACAAGTTCAATGATGAGTTATATTTAATGGGTCCTTAAATTTTTAATATTGTTTTTAGTAGATCCTTAAACTTCAAAAAAAAATGTATTCACTTTTTTAATAAAAATAAAAACTTTAAAGTAACGACATAATATTGGCCTTAACTTCTAATTTTATCTTTAACTGTTTTACAATAGTCCCTAACTTATTATACATTTTTAAAAATTTAGAGACCTATTAGACACAAATTTGAATTTTGTGCCTAATAATTTCTTGAGCTTTCAATTTTTTACACACTAAAGTTCATGAATTTACTAGACATAATTTTTAAAATTTAATGACATATTGACACTTTTAAAATTCGAGGGCCTATTAAACATAACCCTGAAAGTTTAGGAAAGTTGCATTAATGTTTCAAGTTTATTCCCTAAGGGGGTAAAATTTCAATGAAGAACTAAATAAAATGATATGATAGGTAAAAAAAAATAATAATGATAAAAAATTAGAAATTGACATATTTTTAAAGTTCATTGAAGTCTCTATTTCTCTAATTAAAGTTGTAGTTAGGGGACAAGTACATAAATCTAACATAGGAAACTATGTTATATGCCAAGATTACTTGCCCTTCCTATGAAGTCTTTTTTACTAATTCTATTTTGCCATGTTGGGCTTTTTTGGAATAAAAACAAGGCAAAATTANAAAAAAGGAAAAAAAAAAAAAGGCCTAACAGAAATGGAAGATGAGTTGACAAGACCAAAAGAGAGAACCTAATTGTAAAGTAGCCTAGAATCAAACTCTCTATTCTCTCTAGCTATACTTTCTTCTTAGATTTTTATCAAAATATAAATAGAAGAGTCAAGATGATTCGAATTTGAACGTGTTTTGAGTAAATTAATGATCAAAATTGAATTGTGAAGCAACTAACATAGTTTATTTAATGGACATGTCACATAATAATAGAGATGCACAATTTAAATTTTAAGAACGTGAATAAAAATTTTCAAAAAAAATAATGACTAAATAGATATGATTATCAAATTTTGTGAATTAAATTTATATTACAACCTAATTATTAAATATGTTCGAACATAGTAAGAAAAAGTTGATATATTCTTTCAAATAACTAAATTATATAAAAGAAATATATACATATCAATCATCGTTGAATTAGAAAAGAGTAGTTTACAACCTTATAAAATCATGGGTCATTTTTTAATTATTTAAGAAATTGAATTTTAGGAGTAAAGTTAAAATACCAACAATGAAAGGCTTGGAAGTGAAGTGAAGTCTGATGATAATTGATGAAAGGAAGAAGTTGATGAAGAGTTCAAACAAAGAAAGAGGTATGAGTAATGAAATGGTGGTGGTCCAACTATAGCACCTGAATCCAGACATAAGGGATGTTACTTTTCGTTGCGGGACCGTCCTAAACTGAGCGGGAAATCCTCTCGCGAGACGGGATCAAAAATATTTTGTTCATATTACTTAAAAGTCTCATGTCCCCGTCTCGTTATATTTTTAACATATATATACTAAAAAAATCTTAACGAAGCTCCTAACTCTACCCACCGATTCTTTTATGGTTCCCTCCCTCTCAAATTTTTCCTTCTCTTCCTCTCAACTTTTCCTTTTTAAAATAGGGATTCTTCGTGAAAATCTAAGTTGAGCTATGCTCGATTTTGACCATTTAAACATTGAATTGAAAATTTATCATTAAAGAAAATAAAAAATAATTCTCTACACAAAATGGAGAAATATCTATCTAATTTAAAGTTTAGCAATGAGTACAGTTTCTTCAAGTTGAAGGAATAGGTTGTTGTAAATTTTTTCTGCTGATAACTTGAAGAGATCAATGAATGTTTAAATCTTATTTCCATCTAACTATTTAAATTTTATTTTAATCTCAATATTCTCACATTTTTTTATTTTATTGTTTTGTTCTCCTCCATGTCAAACGCTAGAGTTTCAAAATCTCTATTTTAATCCTAAACTTCGGAAATATATCAATTTTGATTCCTACATTATTAACAAATAGATCAAATAGTTTTGAATATGTGTACTAATCAAAGCCACACCAATTGAATGAGACAAATATCAAGTAACCAAATATCAGGTGGTAAACTAATAACGTGAACTTTTAAAATTTAAAAATTAAAAAGAAAACATTTTGGAAAGTCTGAAAAATCAAAATAATTATTTTTAAAAAAGAAAATCAAAAACCATAATGAGGAAAAGTCTTGAAACTTGAAAGGCCAAAGACCCAAAAAGAAATATAAAAAAAGTACAAACTTATCCACACAGCCTATAATTAAGACGAAACCTCGAGTTAACCATGTTAGAGAGAGAGAGAGAGAATAAATTTATTTAATATTAATAAAAATATGATTTGAAGTAGAGCTTTTGTAATTTACCAAAAAGGACATCTGTTCGAATATTGGCATCTTTTCCCAAACACCACAACAGACAACAATCACGGAAACGACGAATTCCATATTAAAATTTAAATTAAAAGAAAACAGAATTATTGGAAAAAAAAATATATGTTTTTTAATTATTAAAAAGAAAAAAGGGCTGTGAAAGGGAGAGATCCTTGAAAGCGACAGGGTTTTAGATAACAAGTATGTCACGCATCATTACGGGAAAAAAGCCTTCAAGAAAATAAGAGTTAAAGTTCCCGCACGCGCCCCCCGCGCGTGCACTTCAAGCGCTTCCTCCACTTTTGGATGGAACAGCGAAAAACCAAAATCCCCAATCCGCCAGAAGGAACGGAAGAAGAAGCAAATTTGGACTGGACACCATGGATGGATCGGAAAGGAGATTCAAAATTAGACTAACCAGAAGAAATTTACATGATGTGGTTTTGGATTTTTTTTTTCTTTTTTGGTGTTAAAAATTAGCAGTTGAATCCGATCTTTCACAGGGGGAGGAGACAGTATATGCCAAAATCAAGGAGAGAAGAAGAAAGCCAAGAAAGGGGTGTTACCCAAAATCCCTTTTCTAATGAATGATTTTTCCCCAAAGTTAGGTTCGATCCAGCCGTGTACTGCGGTTAGTGCTACTCTGGTGGTTTCTGCTGCTGCTTGCGGCGGTGCCGGAGAACAACTGCCCGAATCCGAAGACGGAGGCGGATTTCGAGGATCCTCTCAGGGAAGAACAGACTGGAACGTTGAGTACTGGAGTCACTCTCACGTTCGCCGAGTACGACCGCTCCATTCCTCTCTGCTTGAATTTTGGTCCGCCATTGAAGCTACTCGGACTGCTCGAGCTTCTCTCCAAGTTGTGGAATACGATTTTCCCCGAGGAGTTCATTCGGGGACTGTCTACGGATACTCCTCGGATTCCTAACCTGCTACTCGCCGATTCCCCTTGCGTGCGCCGGATCGGGCTCCGTCCTACTCGATGATCCGCGGTTGATCTCGGATTGGTTGTCTCTGATTTAGACCGCGGTTTCACCATTCTCATGCGCGGCGGATTATTGGTGCCGTTCGGGTTAGGGTTCCTATGGAGGAAAATCGGATTTGAGTTCGGCTTGTTGTCGCAATCGAGTGAGAGTCTGTGGAGATCTTCGTGTTCGTGGCCTGAAGAAGAAGATGAAAGCGAAACGCGAGATGAAGATAGCGAAACAGACTCGCTATCGGAATCCTTCAAAAGTGGAAGGCTCAGCGAGGAATCGAGGGAAGAAGACAACGACGATTTCGAACTCCAATGAAGAAGATACTTCAGCGCCTTCGAATTCGCTTCCGAGAAGTAAGACGATGACGATGTCGTTTTGTGATTTTCATTTTTGGCGCTGCTGCTCTGGTACACCTTCTTCAGCCCTAAAAGCTCCCTCCATCGACTGGAACATCTCGGCGCCTTGGGAGAGAACAGATACGGATCCGTACTGCATTCCTCCTCAACTCTCCGGCGGGATTTAGCAGCAGTCTCCGGCAACTCGTCACACCTCGTGGATTTAAACTCGTTGACCGATGGTTTAACAGACGAGAGCTGGAGCGGCACCAGCTTTCCATCGAGGAAAAGCTCATCCGCAGGGAGCATCATCGCGACGGGATCTTGAAGCCGGAACTCGAACTCACAGACGGAGAGTTCAGGATCCGGATCTCGAATCTCGGACTCACCGGCAGGCGCAGGCGCAGGCTTAGGCTTAGATTTAGCTCCGGCGAGCTTAGAGGAGGCGGGGGAGCCATCCGTGAAGTCGCGGCTGAAGGAGATACGAGGACTGAGCCAGCCGTAGGGGGAATGGCAAGGAGCAGAAGAACAGTCGAGAAAGTTCTCCGGCGACATTCCGACATTGTTAACACATGCGGAAGCCATGGATTGCGGCGATCATGCGACGGTGAAGGGAAACTCCGATAATGGGAAGTGGATGATGCCGTAGGAGGTCAACGTTTTGCCGTAATCACATCGGCGAAAAATCCGACGAGATCTGGAAGAGAGAGAGCGCTAGGGTTTGGGAAAGGTGATGAGTTGGCTTTTAGAAAGAGGACCGTGGTGCCACCGTACAGGAAACCCACTATTTATATCCGAAAATAAATATATAACTGTATAATTTTTTAATTTTTTTAACAAATTTGTGCAGGTGCAGCCAAAAATGCCAATCGCACTATTTCCATTTTCTTTTCCTTTTTAATTATTAAAAAAGTATAGCATAAAATATTTGTCCAATTTACACTTTTAACCTGAGTAATTGTTTTAAGCATTTAAGAAAACAAAGCATTTTACAACTATTATAAACACTCTCAATATTATATAGAAATTTTATAAATGATAAAAATTAGTTTATTTTTTTTCTGTTGTTGTATTATCATTCTTGAATTTATTGGTACTGGGAGTCATGCGATTCTATTTTACTTAATTAAAAAAGAGAAATCATAAATGATAATGTTATCAAACAGACTCCTAAATTTTCAATATTGGACATTGAATTGACTAAATGAAATATAATATTAATAAAATATCTCTAATATAGACGTAATGATAATTTTTAAGTTTTTCAAAAAGATTAAATTTTTTATTTTTATGTTGTTATAGAACTGTCTATTGATCTTTGATTGATATTTTAATTTACATTTTTATTAAATTGAGAACTTGAAATTTCTGTTAACATCAATTTGAAATTTTGGATGGGAGTTTTTTTTCCCTTTCTGGAAACTCAAATTCAAAAGTTATAAATAAAATTAACATTTTTCTTTTTCTATAGAGTTATACCATTCAAACCATGGAGGGGAAGTTTTAACCTATCATTGCTAATATCTTAGCCAGTCAAACTATCTCATTTTTCATTGATTTTTTTGTTTTATTTTTTTTAACTAAATTTTTAAAATATTTATTTTGATATCTTTTAACTTTTTAGATTTATTTTATTTTAATTTTTACATTTCGCCCCTGAATTTTAAAAAATAATAATTTTAGTTATTCCTACTGTTTTAAAGTGGTAGTATGACTTCAAATATGTACAAAGTATATTACGATGATGAAGTGGACATCCATTCCAGCTTAATTGATTTTTTTTTTTTTAGTATTACAGTTTAAACTCGAGGGTGAAGGATTCGAACCTACAAATTTTAAGAGAGTGATATCTTAATCAATTGAATAGTATTTAGGTGCACCGTACTGAAAAATTCAATATTGGATGAGGTAGTGTAGATTCTAATTTGCAATAATTCTAAATAAAGTCTTTTTGCCTCTTTTGGAGAAACAATTCCAAAGAAATATTAACCAAATTCAAAATTCAAAGTTTTTTTTTTAGAAAATATTATTAAAGTTTTTTCCATCCCATATAATAACTATCAAAGAGGTTATAGTTTCCAATTTTAGGAGGCTATTTGAAAGTTTTCTGTTATAGTTTTAAATAAATGTCATAAAGAACTATGATTTAATAAATTGGCTAACAACATTGTGCAATTAAAATCATTGTCTACATATCTATTACTACACTACCTACCAACTTTTAAAAATAAACTTAAAATATAGTTTTAATCCTAAAGTTTGTGATTATTAAAGTTATAAAGTTCTAAAATTGTCTATTTTTTAACCCTTCTCTCTTTTCTTTTTGCTCTTTTTTTTCCTTTTCCCTTTTTAGTTTTGACCACTTTAATGATTTGGTGACTTTTAATATTATGTACACTTAATATATTTCTTGAAATGTTGTTATAGGATTTTTGCAGGGTAAAGAATTTGTGTTAGAATTTTATAAAAATAGGTCAAAATGATTATTTTTTTAAAGTATAAAGATAAAAACAAACATTTTTTAAAGTATAAAAACTAAAATCTACCAAAATTGAAAGTACATAGACCAAAATTAAAATTTTAAAATTTGAGGAGCTAAAACGAACCAAAGATAAAAATACATTGAATAAAAATAGAATTTTAAACTCAACAATAAAATAGATTATATCAATTATTTGTTAACTTCTTATTAAAAATTTATCAATAAAAAATAAATTTGAAACTCCTTAAAATTTGAAGGATCAAAATAAAAAGTGAAAGTAAAATTCTAAGGACCAAAACTATATTTTATTTTTATTTTTTTCATAAAATAAAAAGTCTTAGAAAAATAGCTCCCAAAAAAGCTTCACTGGTCTCATTTGGATAATATTTGATTTATTTCAGTTTTCCTTCGACTTTTACCTATATATTTCTACAACATAATTTAAATACTATTTTAGACTTTGATTTATTTTCATTCATGTAGATCCAAAACGTCAAACTGTAACTTTTGTTCATTTTAATCTCTGTACATTCAAAGAAAAGCGCCAGTTTAATCCCTGTACGGTTAAAAAATTGACTATTTTAGTCCCTATTTACCAAATGTTAACATAAATTTTATACACGATAAAAACCCTTTAATACAATTTCATGACTACATTTCAAAAAATTTTATGAGTGAAATATTATGTTAAAATTTTGATCCAACAAAATAAGGAGATGAAAATCAATAAACTAAAATTATCACTTTTTAAAAGTACAAAAACTAAAATGAACAAAATTTGAAAGTACGGAAATCAAAATGAACGTTTTAAAAGTTCATTTACCAAAATGAACCAAAGCCGAACACATCGATATTTAAATCTAATTTAAATCAATTCTCATATCAACCATTAGAAAACAGTATGAATGGAAATTCTCTAATCCCTCATTATACAAGAAGTTCAAACTTTATACTTAACTAATTTCATTTTAATTCCCCTACAAACTTTCCCATTTGGTAAAATCTAACCAACTTGATAATCATAACTACAAATTCTTTACTTTGAAACCATCTCACATCAGACCAGTCATTCATTCATGAGAGAGAGAATAAGAGAGAGAAACTTTGGGATAGGGCTTTCCATAACACCACCATCTGCCAAGTTATTCTGTCTTCAACCTCGACAAGTCAGAAGTTGGAACTTTCAACTGATGCAGCTGCTTCTGCTTCTGCTTCTGCTTCTGCTGCACTTCACATGGTAAGCTGTATTGATGAGAGGACACAACACAAACAGAAGCATGGTTTGCCAGCAGCCACAAAACTGCATTTCCTTCAGCAATCGCTTGCCCCCGGAAAATTCAGAAGCTGCTTTTTGCATTAAAACGGCCGTTGGTTTTCAAACGGTAGCTCCACGGGAGTTGCGTTGCCGTAGAACTCTTCCAAGTTGTAGAACTCCCTCTGCTGGGGTAGAAAAATGTGGATAACCACATCTCCTGAGAACACAAACAACCAGAGGCAACTTGCTTTCTGAGTTCATTAGTATCAAAGATCAACTTGATGTTTTGGGACTAACATTACCTGAATAACCGAAACGCGATTGCGGAGTTGGAATAATTTACATCTACATCTCTAAGGGCATAGTAAAATCCAATTTGTTCATTTTGATCTAATGAATTTGTCTATCATGCGATACAAATCCTACAAATACCCGAGCCATTCAGATGATATTGGCCATCTAGAAAAAACTATCTCTAATTTTTTGGAAGAATCTATAGTTACAAAGAGGTGTAGAAGCAATCCACTCTACGGTAGATGAAGAACTTTTTGACTGGTGGAATCAATTTAGGCATTTTGGTAGGCTGAATCTGATATACATTTAAAGATTGAGCCATTGATTTAGTGCACTTCATCTCTTCACTATGGACTTCTAAGACAACATATTAGAATGTGAAATTTTGTTCCTTGCAATTGAGAGGTATGCAACTCACTTTGGCATCGGTTTCTAAAGACTTTCCTAACATCCTTCGCCTCTTATTCACTTTAGTTGAAGCCGGGTTTGCTGTTTAGTTGTTTCCTCTGTACAGACTTCTTTCTGTAGTGGGCAATTTTTTCTTTTTTGTATAGCTCGTTTATATTCTCTCATTGTCTTAATGAAAGCTTGGTTCATACACCGTGTTTCCCCAAAGCTTGTAGTTTATTTGGTGAAGGATTTCTGTATACCTTGTTTCTTCCTCATTGGTGTTCCTATCCAGTCTCTTTAGTACTTCCATCTTCTATAAAGAAACACTTGAATCCTATCTTAAATAAACAAATTGAAATGCAAATAGTGCATACCAAAATCCAACAGAGTCCAGGAATTCGGTTTCACGTCACCGGAAGGACTTCTTCCATACTTCTTCTCAGCGAGGTCTCTCAAACGGGATCTGCATTGCAAAATACAGTTGAATAGTGAGTTTAAGTAATGCCTTCATAATTCATATGGAGAGCTCAATTTGCCTTGCTGCAGGCAAAAAGAAGTATACCAAGAAAGCAGCAGTACCCTATAGCATCAATCTGAGGACGAGAAAACGCGGTTGCAATGATGAAAAATCTGGTCCAATAGACAAGAGGCTTCACAAACAGAACACGGATATCAGCTGCCTTCACATCACTTGCAACCTTTGCCATCGATACAGCAACTGCAGAGATAAGCATTGATATTAGACTGACAACCATTCTATGTGACACAACTAAAGCTTGGAATTCAAAAGATGTACGTGTGCGCACGGGACAACATATGTATGTACTAAACATTCATCCATGAGTAAGAGCATATGGATTTTGTTCAAACAAAAGTGATGATTGTCCGTTGGATTCTAATGGCCAGTTCTTTTCTCTATTTACTGAACACTTGAGATTATGGGGTGTAAGCTTTTTACAAAGGCTAATTCAATTACTTCATGATGAATAAGAATTCTCTCTCTTTCTCGAGTGAAAAGGACCACTCAGTCGAATCAGTGACCTACACTTGCTTCTGCATAGACATGTAATTTGCTTGAAACCGTTCTCTGGTGACGCCGAGGGAAGAATTTTTTCCATCCCACTTCCAATTTCTGTTATTTGATTCAATCAAATAAGGAAAATATCGTTCCGTTCCTTTCATTCAACTTCCCCACAATTAAATGACAGAAAACCATACTAATTTAAGATAAATTAGCAGACTATTTAGCAGCCAAAACAAAACATGAACACAAAACATTAATCCTCAGAAAACTTATGTTTATTTCTTGTTCCTGCTAATCACAAGAGAGAGCTTACACGAAAGGCTTTCCGCATCATCATCAACTTCTGCACTAGGAAGCTTTTGATCATTGCTCTTGAACACCACGTTCCCGTATTTCTTGAACAAGTCATCGTACATATCGTCGGTATCCTCGCTCATATTCTGCAAGAAACGACTGACCGGGTTGATAAATATGACAAGCAGATGCAGTAACACATAATTGCAAGAAAAACATCAGGACACTGCATAAATGCACTAAAATGCATCAAGATCTCTATTCTTTGGCAATCATTTAGACAAACCATATTCAGAGTTTGCACAAATCAGTTTGATTAGTCATTTTTCCTTTAGATGAAGTCAAAAATAGTTTGGAGTATGACATAAAAGAACTTAATGATAACTAGATTTTCCTATGAAGACACGAGATCCAAAACGATTGAAATGAGTGGCTTAAATTCAGCACGTTTGATCTTCAGTTTCCTGTTTCTTTTCAAGAAGTATATGAGGCTTCAAATTTCTAAACAAAAATCAAATCTCTAACAAGAATAAAATCTCTTCCGAAATCGAAACAGGCTTCAAATTGGTTCCACAGTTTAAAACAAAAGAAATTAAAGCACAGTACCGATAGAGAGCTATCTTCAGCTTCTCCTCCGACGGCGAACAGCGGCGAAGACTCCATTGACTTCAAATGGAAGTTACTGGCAGAGGGTAGCCTCCAAATGCAGTTTCGGTATGGGAAAGGGGACCGGTTCCGGTTCCAGTTCCAGGACGAGCGGCAAAATTGTTTTCTGGGCCTTATGGAAATCCTGAAAACTTCGTGACCCAGTTGCCGGAATTCGCCGCCGAACAAAGTCCCGGCGCCGCCGTGAAGAGATAAGATAGTGGATAACGCCATGGTTGTTCCTTTCGGGCGGAAAGGAGAAACAGTACACGGTGGGGAAAGATAATTTGAATGGAGAGTGTGAAATTCAATTGTCAAAATCTAATTATATTTGTCATTCTATGAAACCCGATTAGATTAGAACGGAAGAAAGAAGATAAATTGGTTTACGAGATTATTTATTCGGGTAATATTCTCATAAGAAAATAATGGACTCCACCAAGTTCCACTTTAATTTGAATTTACAACATATATACATATTTTTAGTTCTGAATTAACATAAATTTTAACCAACTTCATTCATAACTTCTATGAGTTTAAAAGTTAAATCTCACCTCTCCAATTTACAATTAAACGCTGAATGAAGTATATATTGATCCTCATTTACTCCTTTTATCAAAATATTATTTTAAAATGTGACTCAAAATTTCATATCCTAAAACTCACTTGCCGTATTGATTAGAAAAGAATTATACATTAAATTTTTGTTATTCCTAAATAATGTTAACGATGTCTGATTAAATAAAAATTAATAATATAAGACGAGATTGAAACTTATATTAAAATATAAGCACTAAATAACAATGAACCAATCTAAATGATAGTCATCATTCAAGCTAGATACGAACAAATCTATAAGATAAATGATAACTTATAAGTTCAAATCGTCATCCCAACCGTAAATGTGCTAAAAACATATCAATACATTAACATTCAAAGTAGTCACATTCATTTCCACAATGTTTTTTTTTTCTGACAATCAGAATAGGAGTTTGGCTCCCCTATACCCACAACACCCATGTCCACTCGACTCTAAGAGACATTAAAAATTTTTAGTATTAAACTTACTCGAAGGTTCGAACTTGAGACCTTTAAACTGATATAACCAATAGACTCCAAACCCTTTCCAATGAAACCACCCTTTGAGGCCACATAGTAAGACATCAACTTTCAAATGACATGAAATTTAAATGGTAGGAGAGAGATTCAACCTCTCAACCTTTTGATAAAAAATATATGCCTTGAGCAATACTCATTGGTATAACATAAGTTTTAATTTTCTTTTATATTGAAAATGAATTTCTGCAAATAACAGCATCATAAAATGTAGGGAAAAAGTGGGTTCAGAGCTTGGGGAATATTTGGAAGTCATATCACAGGAACCAAACACCCAAGATTCTGTTTACACAGTAGCATCAAACAAGTGAATTCTACTGCTAATGCTGAACCAAAGAAACATAACTAGTGAATATTGGAACTGTATTCAACACTATCTACTAAACATAATATGAAAGAAAGATATGTACATGAGATTGGAAAGTGTACAAGTTAAATCTTCTAGCAGAATGGGATTCAGGTTGAAACTTGAAAGGGGGTGAGAAAACTGAAGCAGCAGCAGCAGCAGCAGATACATTTCATTTAAACTTAGTGGGGGATGGGGGGCTACATTTGAGGGTACTACTTGAAAGTGAGGCCAAAAAGTTACAAGGGGCTCTCATGCTTTAGAAATCTAAGAGGATGTGTAAGAATGTCATGAGCAGAGGCTATTTTGTCTAAGCTTTTGGATTAAACCTGCCACCTCGTACCAGCGATCCTATATTACTGTCAATTTAGGCACTTGTGGTTTTGATAAGTCTAGGCATTCTTCCAACCTGGTTGAGTAAACTGTTTCTCGCTCATACCTTGTGAATGAGAAGACTTAACATTTCTGCATCGAACCAAGCAAGTGATGTTGCTAAGACTTTTGTGACTAGCATGACGTTCTTCGCCATTGTTTGCTCCCTATCTTCTGGCTCAATTTGAATGGGCTCCAGCTCTTCCTCCGTTTTGAGCTTTCGCAAAAGAGACCAGAGGCTAAAGCCTGCTGAAGCCACAGCTCAAATTCTTCCTCGTCTTCATCCATCATTTCGGCATCCAATTCCCAAGGAAATCTACTCGACTTGGATCGTTGTGTGGTTTTCCCTACACCTACCATGTTTACATGAAAGCTCGGGCGATGCGTATTGGGCCTGCAAGCCATTTTCTGCTCCAAAGTTGAAATTACAACTTAAATCCTTGAAAAAGTTAAGAGTGAAGCAACCAGATTCATAACAAAACTGGAAAAATTATGAGATTTGAAAGAACTCTCTTCTCACAATCACTTAATTTTGTTATATCAACACTCTACCAAACTATCTTGTTAGTGACACATAACGGTAGGTCAAAATCAATTAATTATGTAATTCAGACCATGAACCCTAACTATTAATTTTGGCATGTAAACCCACTTACTTGACAAATCGCCCATTCTGACACATCAAAGATTTTGCTCTCGGCACAAACGAAAGCGCGTGGTATATCCATCTACAAAAAAAATGTAATGATTGGCAAATAGACTACCATCAAATATGGCCAGCGCCAGATATTATATGTGTATAAATATATATATATATATATATAAAGCGAGGGAGCATCAAAAATTCAAGATTCAAGTAAGTGGAAGTCTAGAACTAAAGGACTAAAGGTTGCCTGCCTCCAAAAGAAACCAATTTTTCACTGTTAGTTCTAATATTGGTTACTTCACAATGTGGTTAGCAGAAACTTCTAAGATAAGAACTTATCTTAATGTGATTGTCCCCTAGAGCTAACGTTGCGTCTGCAAAGTCTTCCCTCATGGTAGGGTTGGGACCCTATGCCACGAACATTTTGCGATTAAAAGAAAGGCTAAATATATGTTTTGGTCTCTAATGTTTCACTGTTTTTTCAAGTTAGTTCCTATTGTTTAAAAAGTTTCAATTCAATCTCTATGTTTCACCATTTTAGTTGGTAAATGCTAAAATTGGCGCTTATATAGCATGATACTTAGTGAGTAGGTAAAAATTTAGAGGAATTAGGCTACCTAAGAGAAGAAAAGTCAAATTTCTATGACTTCTTAAAAATTCGCAAGAGGAATTCTAAACTTCCCTCTTTTAGGTGATCCACTTCCTCCTCTAAATGCCCGTCAACTTTTTAATTTTTTTTTCTTTTTGGATAAGAAACATTTCATTAGAAGGTAAACGAAAGAGAAAACGCTTTCCAACGAAATAATTGCAAAATAATTGCAAAAGAATTGCAAAAACATTTCATTAGCTTTCGAATCTCGCAAAAACATTGAAAGGCTGTAATTGCAAAAGAATTTCCTATTTCTATGACACCACCAAGAAGCCAAGATATGTACACTATTATAAAAAGAATTAGTTGTTTTGGCCTTGTCCTCGAAAGACCTAGAATTCCTTTCCAACCAAATACTCGACTTATTAATTATCATGCCCTTTAAATGCCTACCGACTTATTAATTATCATGTCAAGTAAGTTTATCATCAACCAATTTAAACATCATTGCACTATAGTAATTTGAAAACAATGGAGTGAAAAAAGTAAGGGGAACAAGAAAATGCTTGAGCATGTCAAGGAGCTTACTTTTTGAGGCTTATCAAAGACCAGAGAACCTCTATGTTCAACCCATCCATCTCCATCCTTTGCTTGATGATATTGACAGCAATCCTGACACCAAAGCATGTATCAAAACTAATTTATTCTCAAAAGTAAAATTTACAAAGGGGTAGATCCGGACAAACAGGAGTATATATGTAATGCTCGGGGAATAACCTGACACCATCTTGCTTTCGTCTTATTCCTATTCGTGCATACCCATATGTGTGAATGGCCGCATTTACCACACTGTATGCGTCTTGACTCTTCAGAGCAATAATCGGAATTCATCTGCTTATAGAGTAGATCAGAAGTTACAAAATTTCAACTCAAGAAATGCTTGGAAAATAACCAACAAGCTTCAAAATCCACACACATCCCTGATAATTTAACTTACCCACCCTACTTATTTCGAAACATTGGGGAGGAAATTCAAGTAATTATAAGAATCTCACATAGAATTGATACACCATTCTGGATAAGGTAAAAGCTTCTTCTGTAAATGGCTACTTGAGATTGACACTTAAATTCCTTTGGCTATTATCTCACCTTCACTTCTTGACAAAAATAGTTATTGAAAAGCTATACCAAATTCTTGACAGGGTCCCACGTCTATCTTCAAAAATGATTTTCAATACACTAATTCACAGTCAAGGATTAAAATGATCATACAAATGGATACAGAAGAAACTAAGATGAATTCCAGCATATAAGAAATGGAAAGACTAAGGTCTAAGAGTCTCTATTCAAGCAGTTCAAATCTTACAATGTCGTTTAGATGAAAGCGTATAAACCCCAAGAATAAGATTGACTGATTCCTAGAAGATACTTTATTCTCTCTCTCCCTCCTATAGATCTCGTCAGAAAAAAATTTGTATCTTAATTATATTATTATTGGTATTTCCTTTATAATTCACCATAAACCTCACCCGTGTTAGAAGCAAAAGAAAATTTATCACAATTGAGAACACATACATAAATCAAACAACAGATGTCAGTATCATTTGAATAAATATTATGACAGACCTGTTGTGAAGTCCCATAGGACTGGGACCTCTGACAGACACTTTTGGTCTTCGATTCCTCCTTCCGCAATTGCTCATCATAGTCTAGTTTCTTCACGGAATCAGAAAGAACCTAATTTTCCATACCAACTTGAGTAAGAGATGATAATGATCACGAGATTTGAAAGTCGCTCAACTCATGTGGCAGATATGATTGAAGGAACAGATAGCTTAGAATTCCTTCATTTTTGGGCTGTGATGTAAGCCCCTTTCTTTTATTTTCCTGGGTGGAGACTACTTCATTCCATAGAAAGAAAATTACCTCGTATGCACATTGAAGCTTCTTAAACGACTCGCTAGCCAATGGGCTTCCCATATTCTTATCAGGATGCACAAGCACAGCCTAAAGGAGAGAAGATATTTAGTTCAATGTTTCCTTGAGATATTCCAGGAATGACTAAAAATTTAGTGTTAGCTCCTATAGCACGTGGATAGGAATTTCATTAGCCTCCCCCCCATATAATACTATTTCTTCCAGGCAACATTATCTAATTTCTTTTATATTACTTCATTCAAACAGTATTCAACTTCAACCCTTAATTGATAAAAAATAAAAATAAAATAATAATAATAATAGTATATCTATAATCATATTAAATATGATTAGGAGTTACACCAAAATGTTAATACGATAACAAGTATAGCATAAGATAGCATGACATAGAATTTCATCATTGCTCCCCTATACGCAGAGCACCTACGCCCGTCCCAAGGCCTGGACTTGCGAGACATCAAGAGTTTTTGGTATTAAACTCATCCGAAGGTTCAAACTTGAGACATCTAAATTGGTATGACCAAGAGACCCCAAGTTCTAGCCAACGGGGCGCCCCTTGGGGACTAGACATGACATAGAATTACAAAAATATTATTATGTATTTACATATAAATAAAATCAATATATGTCAGTGCATTATCTGACAAGTAATCCAATGTAGATATATAAAATTCTGTCACGTATTATAGCTAGAATTTCCAATAGAGATGGTTTTATGAACTTTCTTGAGGAAGGTGCCTATAAGACAAAATGTCTAAGATTCATTCTCAGAATGCAAGTAATAGCCCTTCGAGAAATATTTCAATAATTGGCAAGAAGAATGCAGTGAGAGTGACCCCAATAACTGAATTACATAATTGGACCCCTACCACCTTCCGCATGTGAAAAAGGACAGAAGGAAATTATATCTGAAAAAAGTGAAAATGATTTGACATATCACCTTTTTTCTGTATTCTTTTTTCAAAACTATAGCATCAATCTTCTTGTGACGTGGAAATCCCAGTGCTTCATAATGGTCGCCGCTATTTAATATTCTTTTCATCTCGTCAACTGAATCAGTCTGCTCTTTGGTCACCTTGCTACAAGAAGCCTCTTTCTGGTTATCCACAACAGCCGTCACAACAGTTGGGCTGGATGATTTACAAGAGTGCACCTTCTCAGATTCACTAGTAGGAACAGAATACTCACACTCCCCCGAGAATTCATCTTCAGATACTGTTTCTGATTGTTTCTGCTCTTCAAAGTGTGAACTCTCACTTGCCTTATCACACCATTGGAGCAAATAATTTAATGCATCATTTGACAAAAATGCAAGATTTATCGCGAGAAATACACCCGGCCATCCAACCCGAACTTTAACACAATAGATAGCATATATAGTTGCCATTAAGACCACCAACCGTGCATGATTAAGAGAAAACAAATAACCTGCATTTAAGCAAAGGATAAATAAAAAAACTCAAAACAACTGACAGGATTTTCAAGATTCATGCAGCAATTTTATTGAAGTGGAGTACAGGTTCAAACAACCAAGAATAATCTAAGGGGTTATCTTCCATCACGAAAAGTTACTTAAAAAGACATTAAAGCGGGCATAAGGGCGAATAGACATAAGTTAGAAGTATAAAAGATCTCTAATTGCAACCACGATGAGATGTGTGCACTCAAATTGGAAAAAAAATTGAAAAAAACATCTATCTCTTCATGTCATTCCTGGATCTAGATGAACATTTTAGAGATAATATGCCCATAAATATCTTCCTTCCTGATTTTATGGACTTTTTATTAGTACACGTAACTCCATACAAAGGCAGAAACAAATTAGTATTTCTTTGTAAGTTGTAACACCCTCATGACAGTTCATAGATGGGCAATCCATCTTGGCAGATGTGGAGACATCTGTATACACGACATCAGCTTTCCAGTCAACCATATCATTCAATATGGTTAACATGCCACCATGATTCTCCTTCCCCCAAATCTACCTTACTTATTTATGAAATACATATGGAAAGTGCTTTATTTTGCCATTGTTACTTGGTTTATTACAGAAGAAATTATTGCATTAGGGAGAGTCATACACAGATTGGGATAGTGGACCTTCATTGACAAAAGATAGAGGTAGATTGGCTACTGAGAGGACACACAAACCACAAGCACGAGAAAAATCGAGTAGTCACCTTTGTACCAGAGTATTACTTATTTAAAAATTCAATTCTCACAAGGAAAGAAGTTCATACCTCCAACTATAAACAGCGTCCCTGTAATCCAAAAGTTAGCATACATCCACAAGATAAGAATGGCAAAGAGTCCCACGATAAAAAGTCCAGGAGTATAACCCAGGTATTGAACAGCAACTCCTGCAGCTCCCTGAAACAGTGGACTAAACTGTCAATATATGGAGATGAAATTTCATATTGTTAACCAAGTATGCAATTAAACTAATATTGAAGGAATCTGAAAAATAAACTTCATGAATTAGTTTTCTAAAAGTAACTAAGACAAGAATCCAATTATTGCACATTTCAATTACACTATAAGACTCCTGGGGTCATTATTCAAAGAACTGGACTACACAGTAGAGAAGTGAAACAAAAGTGAGTTCCTTTACAAATCGCTAACAATACCATATAGTTTCAGCTATTAACAGAATAATAAACCTCAATACAACTCTCAGAATAATTTTCAACAAACTTACATTTGGTCTACTCAATGTAACTCTAATCACCAGTAGCAAAGCAAAACGACAGCTCAACCAAGGACAATACGGAAAAAGTAAGGTAGATACTGAATATTAGTATTAACCTTCATAGATGGAACGGTAGTTACTAATTTTAACTCTTTGGAAGCCTAGACCAGTAGACCTAGAGCAAAACATATCCTGTTTCTCAAGTTAAAAATTTAAGACTATGAAGATCCAGTAAGAAGGCTCATTCAAAAGGCCAATCATTTGACCAACCACTGCTCTCATTTGATTGGACCTTTTTGAAATTAACTTCTCAACTCTCAGTTATCATTTCAAGAAAGTTCGTAAATCCTAATTCCAAAAGGGCACCAAATAACAGAAATGACTTTTATCAGAAATCGCAAAAGTAGGTGTATACCATACTGAGAAGAACATAAACAAGGCAGGACATGGATGTTAAACTAAGAAAGCAACTCCACATTATAAGGAGTAACGCCGCAGAGCCTAATCCAACAAGTGACCGGAAGCCTTTTATAATGCAGTCCCACCATTGAAGCACTGCTAGACGCAGTAAACTCCCCATCCAGGCACAGCCCCGGCACACCGTTGGCCAATGTCTCTCTATAAACATCCCAACTTTGTCTCTGAAACTAAAAAACGCAGTTTGAGCTCGCGAATAAGTGTGTTTCTGCGACTGGAACCATTTCCACCCTTGTTTGAAAAGGCCTATATCCTCCATGGCAGCTACAAAAACCAAAGCTGAGCCCTTCACCAATAGACCCTTGCAGAGAAGCTGCTGCAATCGCTATAGATAACCATCAACGCTACCAAAAAACACAGTCTCCCTCGAGAATTGCGATGCAAAGTCTAAAATGCACCCCATGGGTAATGAATCAAAACCTCGATCTGCCCTTAGACCACCACAAAAAGGAAGCCCATAAGCCAAAAATTCACGGGTTTCCAGCCGTAAGAAGATCCGGAAACTTCTTTACGCACAACCACACACTAAAGTAAGCAGCAACACTTTGTAAGTGATGGAATGAGTTAAATTCGATCACGATAAGGGTGGTCAGTTCGTTCAACGCAAATTGCTTCACATGTAAGTTTCCCGGAAGAAAAAAACACAAAAAGAGCAACCAACAGGAACACTTTTCTAAGAAAAAGGCACAATCAGAAGATCCCACATACTAAATTCTTGAAACCCACAAAAACCCAAGAAGGAAAACAAAAGGGGAATATCTCAGTTTCCTCTTTAGGCTCAACAATCAATAGACGGAAACCCCATTAACAAGAAGAAATCAAAAATGGGGCAAACGAACAGCAGCACATTGGGAAAAGCAGAAAGGGAGAAGAACACAAGAAGAAGGTGAACGGAGCACCGGCAGGGACTGAAATGAAAGCTTTTAATAATGGAGGAATCAAAATAACAATCTGGGTGTTGGATTTGGAGGAAGATAGAGAAGAACTGGGGAGAGGAAACAAACCCTAACTTCTTCTCTCTCTCATTTTTTCCTCCTCTTTTGGATTTAGAGGCATAAACATAACATAACTCGTGAAAAAGGAAAGTGGGTTGTAGAAAAAGTTTGAAAAAGTAGAGAGCTTGAAGAGAGAGAGAGAAATGGCAGACTTAAATGGATGAGAGAGAGGGAGAGAGAAAATTAGAAAAAAAAAAAAAGAAAAAAAAAACTGAGGTGGAAGGAGGGAGCCGGAAGTGGAGGAGAGCTTGCTTTACATTAATGATTCTGTGGGACCCACATCTGTTTTCTTGCTCACGTTATCAAAAATTAATAGTTGATTTAATTTTGTTTTTCTAAATTAAATCTAATGTTTTTTTATTTTATTTTTGTGAAAATATATTTTTGATCCGGAGTTTTAACTTGATTTCTATTTTTCATTTGAATTTTTAAAGTTTGGATTTAGTTTAGTTCCTCCTCAGGTTTAAATTTGGTTTCTAATTAATATAGCATGGTTTATTTTCTTTTGTGTTAGAAAAGCCTCGTCAATATAGGTTAAATATCACGTCATTATTTGCTAGGTCAACTCAAAGTAGGGAACTATTAGAAATCAAATTCAAATCTCATGATCAAATAAAATCCAAAACGCCAATATAAACTTAGCTCAATAGTAACTGTCACATGTCTCTAACGAATAAGTCATGAGTTTGAATCCTCCACTTCACTTGTTGTATTAAAAAACAAAATTCAAACTTATACTTGGTGTACTAATTAAAATGGTCACTTGCAAATATAACAAAAATATTTTATAAAATTAACACAATAACAACCACATTGAGTTTTTCCAAATATAGTATTTATAAAAAAAAGGTTCAATTTTAAAATGACAACTTTACATAAATGATATACATCTGTAATATATTTGTAATATATCTGTAATATATCTGATTACTGATATATGTATGTGACATATATCTGATATATTACTGATACGAGTGTCTGATATACTTGCAATATGTATGTGATGTATATTTGATCTACTATTGATATGAGTGTTTGTGCAATATGTATGTGATATACATCTGATATACTACTAATATGAGTATCTGATATATTAGATATAAGTGAAAATTTGTGCTATATTTGAAATTTTGAAAAAACGGGTGACATATTTTGAGGTACATAATAGATTTTTGCTATCCACTGCAATTTCTCTAATTAAAACTTAAATTTAAATATCGGGGACCAAAAATGACGATTTTTTTTAACTCACCGACCAAATGTAAATCTAAATTCAAATCTTAGAGACTAAAAATGTATTTTATTATTATTTTTAAAATATAGTGTGATGTTGAGTTTTAACTTTTAAGGTATGTAATATTTGGTGAAATTCCTTAATGTTACTTTAGTATATATTATGAAATCTTTATTGGTAGGTGAAGGAAAAATAAATAATGTGTACTCCTCCTTTTGATATGACGTGGGAGAAAGTGTTAAAAATAAAGCTCTCAAAAGGAAAAAAAAAAGTGTTAAAAAGAAAATAGTCTACTCTCCTCAAAATATTTATTTTCTAAGTTAAAATACAGAAACATGATATGAATAATTAATTAAAATTTTAACAATAAAAATAAAAATATTTTTTTTATGGGACGTTTAAGTGCAATTATCCTTCACTTATACTAGAGACAACTGTAATCCAGCCCAGCCCACCTTGTCCAAAATTTTCAATCATTATGGAACAAAATAACACAGTCAATATTTTTTTTTATTTTTGTCACATGCTCGAACATTATTAAGTGTATTAATGGTTTATTCTTTTTATTTTTATTTTTATTATTATATTTTTTTTTAGGTTTCAACCCTATTTATTTCAAAATGTATATTTTAGTGGTCCATGTACTTTCACTGAAGTAATAATTTAGTCTCTGAACTTTAACGTTTTAGTCTCTATCCTTTCCCTAAAGTAACAATTTAGTCTCTGAACCTTAACTTGTAACGATTTAGTCCCTATAATTTAAAATTTGTAACAATTTAGTCCCTATCTTAAAAAATTTTATTAAAATTAAGTGTCAAATTTTATCATATAACAATTTAATCTTTCTAATTCATAAACATATTTGATCCATCTTTACTTTATCAATCTATACATGCAAGAAACTTAATAAAAAAAATTTCACGATAAGGACTAAATCGTTACCAACTTAAATTACAAGGACTAAATTGTTATATATTAAAGTTCAAGGACGAGATTGTTATCAATTTGAAAGTACAGGGACTAAATCGTTACAAATTAAAGTTTAGGGACTAAATTGTTACTTTAGCGAAAGTGTAATGACTAAAAATATCTTTTAACTTTTTAGTTACTATACTCTCAATTTTTGTTAACTTTAACTTATGTACTTTTGAACGGTTGATTTTAATCCTGGTATTTTCTTACATAATTATTTTTGTCCTTTCTTTTTCAATTTTGTTTCATTCATTTATGTGTATTTTTTAGCATAATCTTTCACCTATTACATTCATTGTACCATTTATGTTAAATTTTGTAATATTTAATTGTTTTTATTGATGTATGAATTTAAAAATCAATCAACATATTTACTGATAAAGGGATGGAGTGTGTTTCCTGGCCCAATCCAAGATAAAAGAAAATTAATCATATCCCCATTTAAATCGAGTAATTCTCGTAAAGGTAAATGCAAACCTAACCGGTCAATATATTACTTACCTCGAAATTTTGACAAATTTTAAATAAATTTATTGGTTGTTATTATGTGAAATAGACCTGATTTTAAATCATGTCTTCACGTAAAATAATTCCTAACCAAAATGATCGCATTTTATATGATTTCATAGAATTTCTTTAACATCATTATCGTTCCGAATAAGATTAAAAAAAATTCTCAAATTTCAAAACATGATTTGAAATCATTTCGAACTTTCTTGATGCCAAACAAAACCAAAGAAAGGGTAAAAAATCGAAGATTCAAATTTACACTCGACAAATAGAGATTAGAGGGGGAGGACCAAAACATTTCCTCTAAGAATGAGGATAAGGGATCATAGGCAGGTTGCCAAGAAAACACATCAATTTCTACAATACTTCCAAAAACTCTTCCTACCTAAAAAGATAAAAACAAAACATATAAAACAATTTACACACATTTCTCCAAAACCTTATCACAGAGAGAATAATAAATAAAATTGGCTCATCAGTTTTGTTTCATAGTACTGATGAGAAAGTGTTCCTGTCATATTGTCCAGTGAAGGTTGCAGTTGTAACAGTTGAGGTTCCAGATGACACTGTTGAGTTTCCAAGGTTGTGTGATCCAGAGGACAGACTGTCAGAAGTCATTCCCCCTCTGTTCTGTTTGTTTTTCGCTGGATTATTTACCTTAAGATCCATGAAGTCTGAAATCAGCCCCGGTTTCGTTATCTTTCTGTCTTCGATGCTGATTTCGCCCGTTAGCATCTTCACCACCGTTGACATGGATGGACGCAGCTTCGGACTGTCTTGCGTGCAGAGTAGACCAATCTTTAGATATTTACAAGCCTCCTCGGCGTCGAAGTCGCCGTTTAACGACATATCTACCAGCAGAACGAGCTCGCCCCGCTCGTAAAGACTCCATGTCTGCAAAATCCAAACATAGATTGAACACATTCGGTTCGTTCACTAAAGCATGGAGTTAAATGTAATCTTGGTCTGTTTTTTTCCATAATAGATGACGTGCATTGGTGACCAAAGATTTGTACGGGTGAGTTTTAAGATGTACAATGAATCAAGATTGCTTTGTGACGAGTTCGGGTACCGAACAATGTCTTGAGACAACTAAATCAACAGCTAATGGTAACCATTTAGTTTTTTGCTTTCTGTTTTTGAAAATTAAGCTTGTAAATACTATTTTCACCAATGTATTTATTTGTTTTGCGTCTACTATGTGAAAATATTTTCATAATCTAAAAAGCTTTTAGAAAATCGTTTTTTATTTTGAAATTTGACTAAGAGTTCAAGTTCAAATGTGCTTCTAAGAAAAGTTAAAACATAATAAAGAAATGGTAAGCCAGCATGATTTAAAAAAACAGAAAACGAAAAACAAGATGTTTGAATCTTTCATGGGTTATTATTATTTCCTCTTTTTCTTTTTCTTTCGATCACTAGACCATGAAGTAAAAAGTCAGTTTCATCTCAAGAATCCTTTGAAGAAACTACATAATCACAATTCACTACTCAGGGAAAGTAATTAGAAGATTATGATAGGAAGGACTTGAGAAACTAGTGCGTACCCTTTCGAGAATATACTGTTCTCCAATTGGTAACTGTGAATTCGTGTTGCATCTCCCGCTGACTATTTCCACAAGGAGGACACCGAAACTGTAAATATCTGATTTTCTCGTCACTTGCCCTCTTATCGCATATTCTGGTGCCAGGTAACCACTAAATAAACACAAACATAAACAACATTAAAAAGCTAGTTTCCTCAACCAAAACAGAGAAGTGAAATGAGAGATCAAACATGTAAAAAGGGTTGTTCTCAGGAAGAAAACTGAGTTTTGGTTATGCTTTTGTGTTCCTACGTCTCCATTTAAAGCTTTCTTGAGGTTGGTGTTCAAAATTTTTGATGTTTGTACAATCATAGCAAAATGCCTATATCACTAAATGCTACAAAGTGAACTAAAACTATATGAACAATGTTAGCAAACATACAATATCAGCACGAAAATTCAGCTGTGCGGCAAACAATCGACCGAAAAAAGTCATGCCTATATACTGTTGTGATATATGAGTGTCAGAGCCACAATTTCACACACAAACTACATAAACAACACAGATGATTTCTTCAAACATCCAGGTGTAGTTTTAATTTTTAAACAAGATATGACAAAGTCTATGCACAATTCGAAAGTTCCATTGGAAATAGAGTGTCTGCTTACATTGTTCCTGCCACTCGTGTACTGACGTGAGTCATGCTGGCTGGAATGAGCTTTGCAAGACCAAAGTCCGAAATTTTAGGAGTGAGATCATGGTCAAGGAGAATGTTGCTCGCTTTGATATCTCTATGAATGATATGGGGTTGTACATCCTCGTGAAGAAATGCGAGCCCACGTGCAATTCCGACGCAAATCATAGACCTAGTTTGCCAGCCAAACTGGATGTTACTGTAACCTCGCCCTGAAACAAACAATACTCTTGAGTATTGAACTGGAATCTAACAGTACAAACTAAAGCATGACCTCCATTAAACATGTATGCCTACCCTAACAGTGTAAATGAAAGAGGACAGTCAAGAATGCAACTGCGCGATCCGCTGAGAGAGAATTTGAAAAGAAAGGCATGGTATAAAGGAAACAAAATCGAGCACGGGATTAAGTAAATACCGAGAAGAGTTTGTTGGAGGCTATTATTCTCGAGGTAGTTGTAGACAAGAATTCTATGATTATCATCCACACAGCATCCATAAAGCTGCACCAGATTTTCGTGTTCAATCACTGAGATGACATTGATTTCTGTCAAGAATTCTTTCAATCCTTGTCTTGATTCAGCCGAAAGAACTTTTATCGCAGCAATCTTTCCATCTTTTAGCTTTCCCTGATCATAAATAGTAGTTTTCAAGGTTCTATTCATGATGGACGAAAGAAATTATTCTATTTACAAATGTCTAACTCAAAACAGAACAATTGTAGTTCATGTTAAAGGAGATTTGGCTACCTTGAAGACAGAACCAAAACCGCCCTCCCCTATTTTATTTGCCAAGCTGAAATCTTCAGTCGCAACTTTCAGCTCTTTGTATGTGTAAAATTTAACATTGTGAATGCCTGAAAGTTCTGTTCCAAATAAGAAAGCATGTTAGAATTTCCTTACAGAAAGGACTGCCTGATGTTGCACATTCCTTTAACATAAACGAAAAAACTGATCAAATATGTACGTAAAACAACGGTATATAACCACATGGTTGAGGTTATGAAAGCTCGTGAAATTTACCTTCATCCTCGTCAATACTTCCTGTTGGGGGTTTTACCCTCTTAGTCCTACTGAACAAAAAAGGGAAGCAAGTCATATCTAGATGAAAATCAGCAGCTGTTCACTGCTACTTCAAGGAATCAAATGATGAAAAAACCGCTTCAGATACTGAAACCTGTCAAATTGAACCATCGAAACACCTTAGTTTACAATTTTGATACATGATTAGATCAGAAGAAACTATAAAAGAATTGAGTTGTTGTTAACTTTTTGTAAGAACTAAGAAGATTATCTATGCACTCTCTGTCCAAAAAAAGCAACTCTTGTACAAATCTAGTCCAAACATACTATGATTCTACTAATGATTTTATCAGTTCATCAACTCTAAAAGTGAAAATAGATAGTTCTCAATTTATAAGTCCAAGCTTTCCGTGCTTATGTGATAAAAATACAAAAAATTTTGCAGACAACAAATGATCAACAATGTAGCAGGTTTGCATAGGTAGATATTCATTGAGATTTGCAAATATTATTTGACACTGCCCAAAAAAAAGCAACCCACAATTCCCTGTCATCATTTATCAGCATCATCTTTTTAAGTGGAACTGGCAACTTGGAGTTGGTTTTCCAGATCTGTAGGGCTCAGTGAAATTTTTTGTACTACTCAGTGCTCACTAACAAAAATAAATGGAAAACAAATGTTTAACCCAATTGGAAAGTAGAAAATTGGAGATCCCTCCATGAACCAAGAACTTCAGATTGTTTCCTCATAAATGTAACCGATAAGATATAGCTATTATAATGATTTGAAGTCAAGCCCAATAGACTTCGAGAAGCAGTCATCAAAGATAATGGGGTGAGCATCATCTCGCCAAGAACACCTCTAGAGAGACGACTCATCTTCTGGGTTTTCCTGAACCCAAAATCCACTTCCAATTTCAAGTTATTCGCCATCTAACAAATAAAACTCAGAAAACCCAACGTAACAGATTTATCAAGCGGCAAAATCCTTCCAAAACTAACGAAAAAACGATTCAGGTCGCTGACCCAATTCCCCCAGTTCGTTTCAAACTCCAAAAACAACAAAAGAATGTGAAGATGCACAGAAAAAGAGAGAGAGGTAACTTGCAAAACATCAAACCAGAGCAGACAACAATACCATAACTAGAATTTTGAACCCAAAACAACAGAAAACAAGAGAGACCCAGAAGCTAAACTGACCTTAGAAGGTCGGATGAGTTGAGAGAAAATTGAAGAACTAAACGCAGAGAGGGATAAAGGGGAGAGACGGGAATTGGGGGTCGATTCGTGGACTTTTCTGTAAAGTACTCATATAGTCCTGTCATGTGGCTTCTTCCATCCAGTTACGCGTACGCCCCTTTTGAAAATTCCAACAAAAAGTCATAGTCGCCATTGTTAGCTGCTTTAATCTTGACCCTCGACCCAAAATTTTAAACCCAAATGGCTGCCTTAATTGTACCAACCAATCGGTGAAGTTGATTAATTTGTGGAGCTGTTGAACAAAAATTAGTGTGAAAAGATGAGAGTTTAGTCTTGTTTCTTTCGTTGAAAATGGGAAAGGAGAATTTTTGTGTTGCATTTGGATATTTGGTCACTATATTTTATTAATCGATAATTATCAAGTTTTTCAATGCTTTTAAGAATTCTTTACATGCCAATATGTCTTTTTTTTAGTTACCTGATCCCATCATTTTCGTTATTCGAAGTATTTTAATTATTAATTATATGCGATGACAATTGAACAAGGAAATTTTGATAATTTATGATTCTGAATAACCGTCGATGACATTTCTATCGACATATCCATATTTCCATTGGTTCGGGTTCAACGTCGATACGAAGGGTAAATCGACATTTTCATTATAGTGCCAGAAAATTGACAAAATATCTATAATATATACATAATATTAATATTAATTATTTATAACTAATTTAGAAATATGAAAAATGTTTATTTAAATAATTTTTACGATTTTTTAATTTTTCTAACTTTTACATAAATATCAATCGACATCAACATTTTATCGATATTTTTATGAAATCGAGACCTCGATATTCTCACCGACATTTAAAACCTTACCTATGTTGTAACATTTTAATATTTAATTAATTATGAGTTTTCTTTTATATTAAATTGAAGAGTTTAAAGTTTATCAAATTTTATTAGCGAACATATTTGAAGGAAGGTTAATGATTTCTTTATTTAATTTCATATTAAGTTATTACTTCTAAAATTTCTATGAATACCTCTCTTTCTACACTCTCAATACACACCAACGCAATCTACAATCTTTCTCTATTCTCTACTCTGTTATTTTAAGAGCAATGGGTTTGGAGATTTGAGCCCAAGCTCTAGTTACTTGGATTATTCTATCCGGACAAGTCAAAGAATATATGTTGCATCAGTGGTTGATAAAGAAATATACACGTTGAATCTCCATAAAGAGAGCGAGATATCTGCACCTCAACCTAATTGATTACGTATTTGTTTCTCAATATTTACTCAATTTACCTCTGTTATTTGTAATTCCTCAACAACTTATATTCATTTATTTTTGTATGATTTTGATTGGCATTTAAATTTAGCAAAGTCTCATACTCCATATTTGTTAATCTCGTAAGCTATATACCAATCTATATTTTTTTGTTATAAAAAACTTCCTTTAAATAAATAATGCGAACATCATCTCCGTTCACTAGACAATCATCTTTAAGTATAATATATATAGAATTGAAGTATTCCAATATATTTTTAAGCTACGAGTTTTTGTTAGTATGACAAAAATAAATGGGTGGATAAAAACATGTACAACAAAAATAATATATATATTATTTTACTATACACATGACGTCCTACATAATCCATATTTTAGATATGTGTAAACTTTTATAGTATATGATACTTTTTCGGTTACGTGTCACTCCATCTTCAAATTTAGGGGTTGAAATCGAAACATGGTACATTGGAAGTTGAACTTTATAATTCCAACATGTTATTTAATTTTTATGGGGAAAATTAAAGAAGGAAGAAAATACAGCTATACTATTATGAGGACAAAAATATTCCAAATAAAGAATTAAAAAAACACGTGCTTATATCACTGTAGAATTATAGTCAACAAATATATAATCATGATTCTATTTTTCCTTTTTTCTAAAAGATGCAATTTTGTCTGGTGGCTTTATTAGGTAAATTTTATTTTAATGATTTTGATTTAAAACAATTTTGCAGACACGGGTGAAAGTGAAAAATTCCAAAACAAAATACACTGAATTGTGGAGGGTGAGGATTCGAACTCATAATCTTTTAATCAGAGATAGGTGCCTTAACCACTTGAGCTATGCTCGGTTTGACAATTTTTTTATTTTAAACATTGTCGTTTTGGTTCATATATATTACCTTCTTGGTCTATTATTTTTAGTTTTTTACCTCATTTACTTTTTGGCTCTTCATTCAATAAATTTTTAAAATATAAGAAAATAATTTTCACAATGTATAAAATTTATCTTAAAATTTTGTAAATAAAAATCAAAATATCACCTTTTGTTCTAATAAAAGAAGTGAAAAATATAAGGCAAAATTGGTATTTAAAATTAACAAATAAAAATATTATAGGATTTTAAAATCAACTCCCCACCAAACCCAATTCTACTCGGATCTCATCCCACGCAAGATAATTAATTTAAAGTAAATGAAAGGGTCGGATATTTTGTTTCTATTATTTTTTGAGAATGACAAATAAAGTAATTAAATTTAAATTGTGAATTTATTGATTAACTAAAATAAGGAAAGTCAAGGGGTAATAAATGGGAATTTATTTTTTCTAATGTGTCCTTATCATAGGAATTTTAACATACATTTAAAATTATATCCCAAGTAAAGTCCAATTTTTTCCCGGGGTTTAAATTATATTTTAGTTTAGAACTTCTAATTTCATTATATTTAAATTTTATTTATTAACCCTGAAACCTTTTTAGGTTAGGTTTAATAATCATTATATTTTAAAAAATTAAGTTTGTAAATAAATTTTTATTAGACAACTGACCCTACTACTAGGAGTGTACCGTAGTCATAGTGGGTAAAAAAAAAATATATATATATATATATATATATTATTCTTTTGCAAATTAAAACCTAATCAACCCAAATTTGAAAAACTCAAGAAGCAAGAAAATCTAAAAAACCCAAAATTCCAATCTAATCAATTTTACAGAGTTAAGAACATCTAAAAACCCAAAATTAAGCGTGTGGCTTGGAACAAGTGACATTTTTCTTATAAAATATGTGAGTGAGGTCCAAATATCCTTAAATGACTCATGTTAGTTTGTAGGGATAGTATTCGTTTTCCTAAGTAAACAGTGACGCAACAAAGTCTCAGGAGAATCTCGGGACGATTAGGTGTCGAATCAAGATTACGAATCCTGGGTTGTATCTTAGACCTGGGACATTACATTATCAAATATAATTTAAATAGTTGAATTTTGTATTATTTATTATTCAATAATTAAAACTTTTCAAGATAAGGTATAATGCATATTTAAGTTCCACTTTTATTTGTCAAGACGAGCATAGTTCAGCGATAATTGATATATATCTCCAACAAAAAAGGTTCTGAGTTCGACCCCACCCCCATGATGTAATGTGATAGATAGTTAGACAGTAATAATATATCATGACAATATTTTGATATCCATATTAACAACAATATTAAATAAAAGCGTAATTTTTAGAGTATAAATACTAAGTTTTAAATTTTAAACTTTATAAATTAAATATACGTAAAACGTAAAGTATAATTACACTATATAACTTTAACTCGCAATACAAATTCATTAATATTTTATCTAACTTTATTTCATGTCATAGAAGAAATTGTAACTATATATTTAAAATTTTAGGCGCTTAGGTCCACTACCAATCTTTTACTTTAGCTCATAATAAAAATTTAAGTAATATTTTATCTAATTTTATTGCGTGTCATGGATGGAACTGTGGCTATATATTTAAAATTTTAGTAAGTAAATAGCAAGAAACAAATATGTAACTTTTAATATAGATGCTACTTTTGAAAAAAAAAAACCGTTATGAATTCTGTATCTTTTTTTTTATAATAATTCAAACGAAGAGTTTGCATGTTTATAATAATTTAATTTATTATTATTATTATTATTTTCCTCGTCAAACTTAGATGTTCAACGGAAAATTGAGATTTTTGACCCCTTTCAATAGCTACTTTGGACTTTTGACCCCCTTTTAATTTTTACCTATTTATGACCCGTCCACCTCAGATTTCTGACCTCTCCCCTTTTTGCTTTGTAAAATTACCAAGTTACCCTCAATTTAAAAAAAGAAATCAAACCCAGCCCTCCCCTCCTTTCCCTCCCTGTCTCGGTCCTCCCCCTCCCTCATTCATTATCTCGTTGTCCATCCCAGTCTTCATCCCGGTCTCTCCCTCACAACTAGAAAGTGAGGGAGGGGATGAAGAAACGACGGAGATGAACTTTCTGGTTGTGAGGGAGAGACCGGGATGAAGACTGGGATGGACAACGAGATAGTGAATGAGGGAGGGGAAGGACCGAGACAGGGAGGGAAAGGAGGGGAGGGCTGAGTTTGATTTCTTTTTTTAAATTGAAGGTAACTTGGTAATTTTACAAAAGCAAAAAGGGGAGAGGTCAGAAATCTGAGGTGGACGGGTCATAAATAGGTAAAAATCAAAACGAGGTCAAAAGTCCAAAGTGATTATAAAAGAGGTCAAAAATCCCAATTTCCCATGTTCAACTTCAACTTCCAAATCATGAACTTCAATGGTCAAAAAATGGTGTGAAACCTCATACTTTGATATTTGAAATGTGAACTGCATTTAACACGTGTAAGGTTGATCATTGTCCACGTCGTCTATCGTTTTGTAAAGACTTTCAAAACAAATGTACAGCCGTATACTATTGAAATTTATTGTGAACACCTCAAAATAATAATGATAATAATAACAACAAATAAATAAATAAATCAAATACAAAACAAGAACAAAAACAACAAATTTGTTTCCCGTGTGTGTTCTTTATTCAATCGAATTAAGTTCAATTCCTAACTCATTAACTACGAGTTGAGTTATAGTTTCCATTTAAAGAAAATAAATACAATTACTTGTGATGTTGCTATGGTCGGACGATATTACTGTTTTTTGTTCATGTACTTTTGGTGTTAGTTATTACATCGAAGTCAATTTGTTGTATTCTTGTACTTTTAAAAAATAACAAATTTTTTGGTATTTTTATTTTTATATTATTTATTCATATCAAAATATGAATCACAACATTGTTTTAAAAATTATTTTAAATACTAGACAATATTTTTGAAATGGCTACCATGTAGACATTTTAAATATTTGAAGTTAAATTGATAATTCATTTATAAATATTTGAAGTTAAATTGATAATTCATTTATGAAAATTCAACGATATCTATTTAGTCATAAACCTAAAAAAGTAAAAAGTCCAAAATATATCACTATTTGATTTTGAATACAACACAACAAAGTTTATTGATGTTAACGAAAATTCACAAATATAATTTAGAGTTTAAAATTGAAGTACAAAACTTAGGATAAAAAAAAACTTTGAAGGCCTTAATTCAAAATTTAAAGACATAGACTATGTTTAAAATAACCATTTTGTTTTATTTGTTTTGTTCCACTGCTCTTAAAAAGTGTTATTAAAATTGAAGTCAGAAATTTGAAAACTAAAAATATAATTTTAAAATTTTAAAATTGGTCAAAAATTAAAATTTATTTATTTATTTATTTTTGAGGTGGAATTAAAATTTATTTTTAGGAGAGGGGAAAAACATATAAAAGAATCATGAAAAATCAGCATAATTTTTAAAAACAGAAAACATGGTTATTCATGATAATAGGATTAAATAAATAAACACACCATCGAAATTCCTTAAAGAAAGCGTAAAATAAACCATCACTTTAAACAAGAAAGTATAATTTTCACGGCGGCCGGCGAGCGGAATGTTACCAAGGCGGGCAGTGGCGGTGCAGGCGGCGGCGATAGGGTGGGTGAGAAGCCAAAGATCATCGAGCACGTGGACCAATGCAGCCCACAAGCTCGTCTCCTTCACCTCTCTAAACTCCATAGCAATGGCAACCTACAATTTTTTAGGGAAATCGAATTTGTCGCAGTGAGGAACTCAAAATCACTGCCATGAGCTCCGTTCTGACCAAAGTCGCCGTCGTGGGAAGTGGAAGTAAGCGATTCATCGCCTTTCTCTCTTTCTTTCCGATTCTGTAAGCTATTAACGTGTAATTCGGTCGTCGTTCATGGCGCAGTTTCTGGAGCCGCTTGCGCATGGAGTTTGGCCAGAAATGGGGTCTCGGTCACCTTGTTCGAGTCTGCCAGAGGGCCCGGTGGAAGAATGTCCCAGCGGAGGTGAGATGAATCTGCTCCCGTTTCTTGTTTGGGTGTTTTTCGATTGTTCACTTTCTGTTCGCCAAAGAAAGAGAAACTGCGGAATGGAGTTTCGTGGATTAGAAAAGATCTTATGAGAACTGTTTGATAATTTCGAAGAACGAGTACTCGAAGTGTTTTCGATTTGTAAATCATTGGAAAATTTGGAGTGAGAAAACCAGAGAATGGATGAACAAGAGCTCTACAGAAATGAATAAAATATTATTTTATCAGCTTATTCTGAAACTATTGTTACTTACTCGTCTTAAATAGAAAACATAATATTGCAACAGCGGAATTTGAATGTTTTCTTAATTTTACTAATGGGCATTTCAAACAGAGAAATTGCAGAAGATGGGAAAGAACTGCTCTTCGACCATGGTGCCCCATATTTTACTGTCAGCTCCCCGGACGTACTGAGTATTGTTCGTGAGTGGGAATCACAAAATCTTTGTGCAGAATGGAGAGAGGGTTTTGGGATTTTTGATTGCTTTTCCAATCAATTTACCAGCATAGAACAGGTTAAAACTCCACTTTTATTCTAATCTTGTCGGGACTTTAGTTCGCGCCATAATGGATCATACTTCATTTTGCTACCTCTCATTAAGTGCTCGCAGCTTCTTCAATCAACAGCACATAAATGGGAAATATAGAATCTGGCTGGTTTCTTGATATGTTTCCGATTCTGACATGGTGACGTTTAACTAAGTTTTTGAGTGCATATATACTAGTTAGATCACTAAATTATCTGTCTGTTCACCATGCCTGTAATTTATTTTTTCTAAGCATTTTATGTATGTACGTACTCTCTATTAGCTGCCCCTGCTGTTCAAACTTCCGTTCCCTCAAGAAGAGAGATGGATGGAAGTTTTAAATGAGAAGTGAAGAAAGAATGTGGATCACTGGTATCTAGAAGTACAAAATTGAACTACTTGAGAATAATGGAAAAGGAGAAGAGAAGTCTGGGATGTGAAATCCATATATGCTGTAATGTCTAGAGAGATTTGAGAATCTTACCTAGTTTTAAGTTTTATATGCTACATCAAGACTTGGAACTTCAAAAAGTGAGTATGTTAACTGTTAGTTTTTATCTAATTAATTCATCAGCAGCTCTTGGAGGCTGTAGTTCACTGCAGAAGAGTGATTAATATCTAATGACCTCTTCATACTTATGGGGCGAAAACAATGGTGGCTATTCACATATAATACAAAGTTACGAACTAATGCTCAACATCAGGACAAAAAATTAAAGACAATTGTTTACTCTCCTATCATATTATCCTTTATATTGGATCAATTTATCTGAGTATCAATACTATTTAGGAAGGAGTAAGTGGGCGATATGTGGGTACTCCGGGCATGAATTCTATTTGCAAAGCGTTATGCAATGAACCTGGTATATAACCTACTTTCTTATATATAAAATTTTTGTAATTCAAGGTTGTAAATGAACATAGGAAGGTGCTTATTTTCCACTTATTTTCAGGTGTGGAGAGTAAGTTTGGGGTAAGTGTTGGGAGAATGGAATGGTTGGAGAAAGATAACTCATGGTTGTTATTGGGCATCAATGGACAAAGTCTTGGTCAGTTTGAGAGTATTGTTGCATCAGACAAAAACATAGTTTCTCCAAGGTTTACCAGTGTAACAGGACGAGTGCCACCTCTAGGTAAGTTGTATGTTGGATCTCCTTCAGTCATTTTTGTTGCGAGTATCTCCTGTTGTTGTGCATGAGAATATATTTGGCATTATTCCCCAGCTGCATTAGCTTTATAACTTTTCTTTATTGACTCAATTTGATTCCCTTCTATTTATGGAACTTTAGCGTGTAGCATGTATTTTCTTCTCCTCCTTTTCCCCTCGCCCCTCTATCATATTTATTTGGGAGTGATGGTGAACAAACAGGAAAGAAATTTTTTTACTTTTGGTAAACCATGCTGGAGAATGAAATAAGTTCATCTGACTTTTCAAAATTATGCAGACCTTAATTTGGTTCCAGATTTGGCAATTAAGCTGCAGAACATTCCTGTTATTTCATGTTTTGCCCTGATGCTTGCATTTGAACAGCCTCTCTCTTCGGTAATATTCCACTTTCACACATCCAAACTACTTCAAAGTTTTATGCAATTACCAATTAGTAGTATCAAAAAAATTCGTTTGTTGGCACCGGACACTCTTTTCCTATAGGAAGTTTTCACTAGATCAATCTTATAGTGACAGTCTTGGTTTAAATTTTCCTCTGATACCAGTTTATCTTGTTTTCATAGAGAGACGTTGGCCTAATGAATGTCCTTGTTCAATTGTCAGATACCCGTCAAAGGTTTCTCTATAAAGAATTCTAAAGTTCTAAGCTGGGCTTACTGTGACAGCAGCAAGCCAAGGCGTTCAACTTCTAGGTATGTGATAGTTTATTTATTCATATAGAAAGGTACATAGTAAAGGAGAATTCAAGAGCACCCTGTCTCTCTGGTTTACCTATGAGACTCTTGCCTAAAAAGTACTCTCACCATTGTAATCCAACTCCTAAATGCTAAGCTGTTCCCTCCCTTACTCTCTTATGCCTATACACTAACTATTTGGGGGGTTTATCACTGTGTTTATTTGGGGGGTTTATCACTGTGAAGCAAAATTATCAAATATTAGCAGAGTATACTATTCATAATTTTTTTGCTTCGGTCTTGCTACTTTAATTTTTATATTCTAGTGAACGATGGATTTTGCATTCAACAATGGAGTACGCTGAGAGAGTAATTGCAGAATATGGGCTTCAGAAACCTTCAGATGCCACGTTGAAAAAAGTGGCTGAAGAACTCTATCAGGAGTTACAAAGCATGGGATTTAGCATACCTCATCCATTCTTCATGAAAGCTCACAGATGGTAAGCATTTGATTTAGAACTGCAACTTTGACTGCTAATTTTCACTTCATAAATATATCAAATATAAGTCATGACTTCTGCTTCAAAGTGTGCTGGATATTGAGATTATTGCCTTTTAGACAGAAATAGGGAACGGTTCTATTGAAAATAAGTTCCTCTTTAAAGGGCAGAATAGTCATTAACTAAAGAGTTTGTAATAGGAGGTGGTTATAAATATAGTGAGTAAGATTGAAGGAAGCAATGATTTAAGTAGTTTAGGCTTGAGTTTACTTGGGAGATTTCAGGTCCTCTTACTACTTGGGGTATCTTTCTGTATTTTCTTATTCTTTAACAATGTAATTCTCTGGCTTTTACATAAAAGAGACTAGACTAGAGCTTGAATTTAGGAATTTGGTGGTTTAAATCATTCTTCTGTTCTCTGCAATTCACATCTATCAACTGGCTTTGCGACAATCTTTTTTTCTTTTTTAAATCAGAAACATTGGTGTATAAATATATGGGTAACTGGGGATGAGAAGGCCCCTGTCTTAATACCTCAAGAGCACGAGAGTCTGTATTAAATCTTGTTGTGATGAATATGTATTATATATGGATGGAGAGAATTTCTGATAGAAGAAGAGGTTATATTGCAAAGGTGAACAAATTTGATGGAAGAGGGAAAAAGTGGTGCATTAGGATTCCATAAGAAGTGGATAAAGAAGGTTGGAAAAAGTTTCTTAGTATTATAGGGCTATCTGGGAGAGCCAAAAGTTCCTTCCAAAGTTTCGGAAGATGTTTGGCTCACATTTTTTTCTTTTTAAATGAAAAAAGAACGAATACACAAGGGTATACAAAAGATCATCCTTAAAACAGGAGGTCCTTAGAACAGGAAACCATCTAAAAGGAGCTCCAATCCAAAAGGATAACTCCTAACTGATAAAAATAAAAACTAAAAAAGGACACTTCGAAACTGACCCCACAGTATTAAATCTAATAAGCTCCTTGGATCTCTCGACTCCTAAAGATTCTACTATTTCTCTCCATCAATAAGCTCACACTTTTAATATGTTTGAGTTCATCTAATATGTGTTTGGATTTTGTAATGGAATCGAGTTTGTAAAACAAGTATTTAGTTCGTGGGTTTATGATTCGTAAAAGTTAGTACATATTATAACATGTGAGATTCTTAAATCTGGGCTTATGTAGTCGAAACACGTAGTTTAGGATAAGAAATTCAAAAGATAAATGTAGGCTCAACTTCCCGAATAGGAGTTTGCAAACAAACCAAACTGTCGAGCCCGAGCCCCCGAGTCTGTATGTAGACTATTGAATGTGCTTTCCTCCATTTCTGAGTTCTTTAGAATGTCTGTGGGGGCTTCTTGCAGGGGAAGTGCTTTTCCAGGTGCAAGCATAGCCAGAGAGGAAAAGTGCCTTTGGGATGGAAGCAAGCGGCTCGCAGTATGTGGGGATTTCTGTGTTAGCCCAAACGTTGAAGGGGCCATTCTTAGTGGCTTGGCTGCTGCTTCCAAACTCCACAAGATTGTTAGCTACCTATAGTAATTAGTAGCCTTCCTTTCCCGGGCGGAGCTAGAAATTTTCTGAACGGCCAAGTATTTAATGGTCGGTGGTCGGTTTTAATAAATTGTTTACAAATAAAGCCTGATGAGTGGCACAACCAACCTCTAGGCGAGATATAGGCCGTAATTAGTATGATATAATATGATGGAGTGCTTACCCAACATGGAAAGTTATGAAGGTGAGCTTTGGTTGTATTGAGTGGATTTGTTTATTTTAGGCCATGAATTTTTTCTCAACTTAGTTTTCAAGCTACATACTTGTACATTTATATTTATGTAACAATTCATTTGAATTTTCGATGTTTTAATAAGTACATGCTTCGTGTGCCAATTGGTTAGGGCATATGTCTAGGTTGGAGATTCGAATCTCCACCTCCATGTGTTGTTGAACTAAAAAAAAAGGGAAAACAAAGTACATGCTTTGTGTTGCACAAATTTATGCATATGTTTGTATTTTTACCGTTTCTCATTAATTATTGACTTTTTTTCTCGTACATCTAATGGTGTAAAACTATTATCTACAGGGTTTCGGCCATCTCCAACGATATCTGCTATAACAGTTTTTATGTAAAGTTTTAAAGAGTAAAACATAGTGTGAAAAGTTTGGGGGCCAAAATGGGAGGTGGGAAAAAAAAATCTTAAATAGCAATAAATTAATTAATGGCTAATATTCACCAGTAATTGATTAATACTAATTTAGTAGGTTGTAGGTTGTAACTAATTAGTTAGAATGGTTGATCCAATAAATATATCTATTTGGTGGTTATTGATACCTTTAAGTGATTTTTTTTAAACTAACAAATATATTAATTTATTACGTAATATTAAGTAATTATTTTATTGTTTGAATTAAAAATTTGGAAACTGTTTTGGTTAATTTTGGTTCCCATATTTGTATTTTAAACTTTTGTTCATTTTTATTCATTATTGTTATACTTTTAATACGTTCGTTTTTATGAAAATTTGTTAATACAAACTTATGGTTACATTTTAAATTAAGAAATTTAAGTGAATGAAGTGTCATGTTAAAATTATGATTATAAAAAAAAAAGATATAAATGAAGATGAAGAGGCCAAAATAGTAAATTTAAAAAAGTATATTGACAAAAAGAAATTGATGTTTCAAAGTAGATCAAAAGTTGAAAGTTGAAAATGAGACTAAAAATGAACCCTTTGAATACCTAGATATCAAAATCAGAATACTGATAAAAAGTAAATAGTATTTTAGTTTAGTTTTTTTTAATCAAATAGATATGTGTATACAATTGGTACATCATTATACATATATATAATTATAATTGGTTTATATTAGTTTTCACACCTATCTCAAATATTCAACATTTATAACATTGAAATGCAAAAAATCCCAAATATAATACAAAACATTCGTTGTCATTTAACTCTATCGAGACGAATAAGTATTATTACAACTTGCTGATATTCTTACAGACGGCTCACATTTATGAATAAATATTTTCTTTTTGTTATATTTGTAATTCTAATCCAATAAACTTCCATATTTTATTTATTTATTTATTTATTCATGTGGTTGTCATAATTAAAATGAAAATTACGTGGTCTCAGTTTTACAAGAAAATAAAGACAAAATACACAACATTTTATAATTCATTTAAAAATTACATCAATAAACCGAAGAGAAATGATCACAGCCGTTGAAGCAAAGATCAACGGCCGTTGTTTGAACTTGAACGGAAGCGGCTAAAATAGCTCGAAAAAAGATTCCAGATAACACAGGAAGATTATATCCAGATTACCACCATTCACGGCCCGCCACGTGTCGCTCTGCCAATCACATTTCTCAGATTATCAAGCTCCGAGTTTCGCTTGCGCCATTGCAGATTTCCCAGCAGAAGCAGCAGAAGAAGAAGAAGAAGAAAAAGCTCGTTGATCGGAAATGGCGGCGTCGGTGATGACCTCCGTGAGTCTCAAACCAGCTCCCTTCACCGTCGAGAAATCGGCAAAAGGTCTTCCGTCTCTCGCCAGGACTTCCGCCTCCTTCAAAGTCGAGGCCAGCGGCGGGAAGAAGATCAAGACCGACAAACCCTACGGTAGAATTAACCACCGATTATATCATGTGATTCTTGGCTTATTTAATTAGATTCTAACTCGTTCTTCGATGGAATGCGAGCAGGAATCAATGGTTCGATGAATTTGAGGGACGGACTTGATGCATCGGGAAGGAAGGGCAAGGTTGTTATCTCTGAATCTCTCTGAAATCTGTATCTTATTTGAATTTGCTATTTGATACTCTGCAACTGAGATTTGGTTCTGCTTTTGAATCTGATCGATTTAGGGCAAGGGAGTCTACCAGTTTGTCGACAAGTATGGGGCCAATGTCGATGGCTACAGGTAAACAAGGTTTTTGGCTATGATTTTGTTCATAGTTCTCTGGTTTGGAAATGAAAACCTGAATTTACTATCATGTCAATGAACTCATGTATGTGTTCTATTCACCTACTCTAATTTGCAGTCCCATCTACGATACCAAGGACTGGTCTCCGAGTGGTGATGTCTATGTTGGTGGTAAGTTGTTCTTCCTTCACTTTTGAATCTTCAATCCTATTTCTTTAGACTCATACCATAAATATATAAACTAGATTATACAATAAAGTTTCACGTTAGTAATTTGAATGCGCCTGCTGAGTAAATTCACGATTGATTGATCATTCATTTTTTGGACTTGTTCATAACATATACATCTAATCATTTTTCAGTTGGTATACATGAATTGAAAAACACAGAAATTTATTAGTTATTGTGTTGAAGTGTGGGTTTTCCTTTGGTTTTGTTCATTGGACAGAAATGACTGGTTTTTCCCTTTTTTTTTTTCTCATTAATTTCTGTTATTGATGTAGTTCATCTTATTAATTACAATTGTTTATCTCCATCCATACCTTATGAATTAAGACCCTTTTTTTTTCCCAATTACAACGCTTATTTTCCTTCAATTTTGTTTATTTTAAGTATGTTTTCACCCAAGACTTAACAACCAATATATTATGAACACTTTCTAAGTTCAAATATTAGCTCAAAGCTCAAGAAATAAACTATTAATATGAAATGGAAGAGAAACAACATTGTATCACGTATGATTACAATTCAAAAGTTCATACCTTTATTTTGGAGTTGTTTTCTCACCTATATATCAAAATTACCCTAACAAAGAAAAGTTTCACTAAATATCAACAATGGCTTGTAAAACAGTAACACCAAGCATTAAGAGATAGGATTGAAATATGGTCTTGGGACTAAAAATGAACGCAATAGTTCTTGATATTGTGGACAACATTGAATTGTAGGTACCACTGGATTAGCCATTTGGGCAGTGACCTTGGCTGGGCTCCTTGCTGGAGGTGCTCTTCTTGTGTACAACACCAGTGCTTTGGTCCAGTAAGATTTGTTGGAATTTGGAAGTCTGTTTTTTTTTTTTTCAGAGTATAGCTTGTAGCATGTTATCATGAACCAACAATATTAAGAAATTTGTGTAATTATCTGGACTATTTTGTCATAAGTGCTTTCTCTTCTTCTTGTTCTTTTCATTTATGCTTTTCCTGCATTACAGGTGATTGATCTACCTTGAAACCCATTTAATTTTATGTCACATTTTTCTTTTTTTGTGTGCAATGAAGGAAGATTTGAGGCTACACTCTAAATTTTTTTTTTTTTTAATGTGTCAGTCGAGTTATGTTACTATTGGTGATTTTATGTCATATTGAATGAATCATGGAAGTAAAGAATTATTATTATTATTAATTTTTTTAAAGAGTATTTTTAGAAGACATCTAAAATACTAGTAGACTATATTTTAGACTATTTTAAATAGTTTTTTAAATTTTTTTAGGAACATAATGTGAAGTGATTTTTTTTTTTGGTAGGTAATTTATTTATTTTTATTATTCCAACAACTTATTCTAAAAGGTTAAGGTACCAGTAAAGAATTATGTTGCATATCTCAATAATTTTTTGGTTTGCCCATTTAGGTAGAAGTATTTTATGAACCTTTATCAAGTATTAGAAAATAGTTAAACAAGTTAATTTTATGTTGAGCTATTTGAGAAATGTAAAAAGATAAATGGAATGATTCCTAAAGCTTTATACTTTGGCCTTATAAGACAACTATTGGAAAGATAAAATTGAGTGTTGGAATAAAATTAACCAAAACAATATGTGTTTGATCAATTAACATGATTGGTAGGGTGTGTTGTCCACTTCATTGGTAAGTTAATATACATTTATAAAAAGTAACTTGAATCTACGTAGAAATTTCTTAATATTTTCTTTAGTACAACAAATTCGGGGTGACGAGGGTTTGAATATTCGACCTCAATAGAAGGACTAAATATTAATTACTGCTGAACTGTATCATGTTGGCTTAATCATTAAACTACATTAGATTTATAGAGATTTAATACAAATTTAGTGATAAAATAATATGTAGTCCAAGAAAAAATGAGATAAAATATTAAATTAGTTTATTTATTTATTACTTTTAATGTAGAGTTAAAAGACTAAAATAAAAAATTTGAAAATTTGGACTGTCACAACAAAGTAGGTGTTAATACATTCTTTAATGCTAACCTAATCTGAACATATTTCAAAGGGTTATACCATAGATTTTTTTAGTTCCTTTTTTTTTTCATAAGCATTGCATGGCTCCAGCAATTTGATATCTATACCTTCTGAATAATATTGTAGGTTTAAATTATTTTGCATCCTTTAATTTGCAGTGGTAATATTAATTAAAAATAAAAATCCATAACAAGTATACTTAAAACTGTTTGACTGAAATAAATTAGAGAAAAAGTTAAAATATTTCCTTGAACATGGCAAGTTATTTTTGACAAGTCAATTTTTACCATTAATTTTTAATTTCAATTGGGCAAGTGTTGCAAATGGATGGAATTTAAATTTTAAGGTAAAAATATTGGTAGTTAACCCGACACTACTAGTCTTAAGATTCGAATCTCCCTTTAAATAGAAAAAGAAATAATTTATGGTAAAAATGAAGAGTAAAGTTTGATTTTTTTTTCTTTTTTTAACCAAAAATTGCTCCTTAAATTGTATTCATCTCCTTTAAAAAGTAGGTGGTTTCGATCGAAAAAAGAGAGTAAGTGTTTTGTTTTATTGACAGAAAAAAGTAACTCGGGACTGGATTCCAAATCTCACCCTTAATAAAAAGATATTGAAGCTGCATCATTTCTTTCTATTACGTGACAACATTATGGTTCTTACAGTCGGTGCTTTGCGTTCATGATACTGGGGTGAGCTTCCTTAATATTAAGGTGGCAAAGTATTCGAGAATTGGTTGAGGAAGAGGAAAAACTTGAACTTTTATTAACTCTAGCTGTTGGAACAAGGGTGGTTGAAGAAAGTCGTCTGGAGATTCAAACGCCCGTCCTGATCAATACAAAATTGATCGATTGGATCATGATTTTCTTGGAAATGCGTAAGTAAGAAGAGATGGGAGTAAGCGCGTCTTATGTACTATGAAAAACCTTTTGCATTTCTTTCATTTAATAGAAACTAATTATATACTAAAATCAATTGTTTTATTTTTCTAATAAATATTTTTTTACAAGATTAGGAAATGAAACATGAGTAGCCAACTCGAGCATGGTTCAAGATATCTATCTCTTATAAAAAGTCACAAGTTAGAATTTCCGCTCTAAGATAAAATTAACGTCTCTATATTTGCAAAAAGAAAGAAAGAAAAAAAAAGATTGACATCTCTAAAGGTTAAAATTTAAAATATGTGTAATGTTTTTCATAAAAAATAAGGTTATTGCATTGGGTGGCAAATAAGTTTTAGGTATTTAACAATATAGCACCCACTTATCAAAATTTCAAATATAGCAATTTTTATAGGATTCTGATTTTGAATTTTTTAGTATTCCCAAATTGCCCTCATCATATTTATCACGAGTTTTCGTTCTCTCTCGGATCATCGTCTTCTTCGCGCATCTTCGTTCTCTCTCGGATCATCGTCTTCTTCTTTCATCTCTTCTTCACGTGTCTTCATTTGTTCATCAGGTATCAATTTTAGCTTCTTCATTCGTATTCATTCGTTCATCAGGTATCGATTTTAGCTTCTTACTTTGTCTTCGTTCGTTCAACAGGTTTCCATTTTAGCTCTTTCGATTTTATTTCTTCTTTTTCTTCGATTTTGTTCGTGAAGAACTTTCGGCCTTTGAGGAACTTCTGTCCGTTTTAATAAGGCAGATTTCGAAAAGAAGAATTTGGACTTCTTGATGGACTATTATAATTATATTTAGTTTTTGTTCTTCTTCTTCTTCGATTTTGTTCGTTTCTGAGGTCTTGATTTTAGTTTTTCTTCTTCTTCTTTCGAATTTAAGCTTGATTTTAGTTATTGGTGTCTGATTTTGGGCGAAGGATCACCATTAAGATTGTGGAGAACCTGCCTGAATTTTAGGTGAGTTATATCACCTAAATCAGTGAGGTATATCATACCGATATACTTCCATTGAATATGAAGTATATCAGTGAGGTATATCATAAATATTTTACGTATATCTATAACTGATATACTCAATATAGATATTAAATATAGGGTATGTCTGCGGCTTATTTTATGTTATTTGTTGATTGATATACTAATATCATCGATATTTTATATTTTGCAGTGTTTGTAGTTATGGGCAAGTTTGCAATAATTGTTTTTCACAGTGGTGAATGAGATGATAGTCATTGCTATATGAATTACAAAACTATTRGGATTTTGGTTGACGAAGATATGAATTTTCAAAATTTTAGGAATTTATTGAATGAAGTGAAGTTAGATCCATCAATTTGTTTTGTCCAATTTTCAGTTTTATTAAAGTTTGGTAGTAATGGAGTTCAAACTGTTGTTGAGATTAATGAAGATAAAGATGTTGCTTGGTTTTTTACTTTGGTTAAGGATGACAGTACAAGATATCCTTTAGTTGCTCATGTAAATGCTATGCCTTTGGAGGATTCTAGTGTTATTAATTCTGGAAGTGAGAATTTAGGTCTGGTTGTTGCTTCTTCTGCTATAATTGAAAGAGATTTTCAAGTTTATAACGATGTTGATATTACTAGTATGTCTTCTGCATTTTATCTGAAGGAGAAGGATCTATTTGCAAATAAGGAAGTTTTGTCAAAAGCTTTTCACTTTATGGCTATAAAGAATA